CGTTTACCGTGAAACTATAATCCCTTCGTCAATATGATCCGATCAATTACGAGATATGGAATTGTGTCAATCTCGATCATCGATCATATCTTTCACTCCACTATCAAGTCAATATAAATCGAAAACTCCTTTTCGACTTATGAGTACACCTTGGCCAAGGATTTCATCATTGACTTAATTGAATGAAACGCAGATCATAATCTCCTACTATCTAAGAGTGACGAATCCTATATTGATCAATCACAACCTTCATACGATTATTGACGTACCCGAACGATGTCGTATTAGCGGCCCTTTTCAGAGCAACATCCAACACCGCCAAAGTATGACTGTCCTCATATAAGGTACCATGACGACCTCAAGTCAAAGGACCAATTTCACTACCGAACGTTAGAGATTAACCACCGACACTCAGATAGTTATCCATGTGGAATCTCTCGACGGGTCTCCAATGTTTTGTTCTATAACAAACATCCACGTGTTCATTTAAGTGTCACCACACTTTAACTTGTGAGATCAGCTACTTACTTCACAAGTAAGAAATGTCACACGTGATGGTCTATCCGTAATAACGATATCCGTATCTCGTTATTACTTACGACCACGGATGATTTAAGATTCAATCAGATGTAATTTGTATCTCACAATCACAACTCCTTGTGATTAATAAATTACAAATATTTGAGTCTACGGACTCTATTATTTATTTAATTGTCTATTAATTAAATAATAGAGCTGCCATTTAATTGCATTAATTATATATAAAAGTATTTATGTCCAAAGTCGATTGGACCTAGGGCATAATACTTACAATTCACTCCAAGCAGTCGAAACAAAGTTTCATGTTTGGGTTCTTATGTAGTGAAGTTCGAGGAGGCGAGTCTATGTGCCAAGAAGGCGAAAAGAACGACATAATATGTTGATTTTAAAGATATTCCATAGCCCGAACTGGCTTTTGATGAAAAAAGATGCCAGAGAGGGTTCAGCGGAGGTTTCAAGAATTCAAGTCTTAGGAGACGCTAATGTTCTCGTAATTTTGATGATGTAAATTTGATAGGCAAGGCAATGATATGAACTCCTTTGAATGTAAAGAATTATGTGGTTAGTGTTATGATATCCAAAGTTTCAGTTGCTTCTCTAGTTTTTGATTTGCCAAGTTTGCCGTATTTACGATTAATAATGCTCTTTAGCTTTTTAGCAAATTATATGCTCTACACAATGTTAATGTTTTACGAGTCCTTTTGACATGATTTTTAAAAAGCCAAAAGAGATCCAAAAGTCGTGTTTTAACACGTTTGACTAATTTTATGAAAGTAATTCTATTATTTAAAAGAGTTTTTAGAGGAAGTTGGTCCAATGTAATTTCCTCTAAAAATACTTTCGAAATAGGAAGTGATTTTGAATATTAGTTTTCACACAATAAATAAGATAGCTTCCTTAAAAAATTCTTGTACAAGAGGCAAAAGCTATGCCTAATGAGCCGAAGTTGAATCCCTGTTGCTTATATGACAATATTGAAAGAGTCGTACCATTCCTCGACCATATGGCACGTTCAATATACTACAATGACAGAGAGTGCTGTAGAGAACTACCGACAAATTTGCTTGTACGTTCGTACTTTGTTGACAAATTTGCTTGCATGTTCTTACTTTGTTATGTTCAGTTTTATTAATTCAACGTTCTAAACATAAATTTCATGAAAGACAACAGAAGTTGACAGCAATTGAGAACATGTTCTTGACACAAACTCAGTTAGGCCTAAATCCATTAAACCTTGTCTATATTTGGCTACAGATAATGCAGAGTTGTTTCTCTTGTCTGCCATTTCAGCTACAATTTTACCCATCATAAAGTGGAAGCACTCATCCTTTGTAACATTGGAAAGGTTAACTTCTTCAAAGGTTAAACCCTAACCTTAAGGGTCTTCCACCACCCCTTCCCTGGAGTATCTTGAGGGAGGTAAATCACAGGATATGCCTCCGAGAGTACAGGGTGGAAGGCTGTTTGTACACTTGCACTTACCCAAGAGTCAAATCCATATTTCAGAATTCGAACCCTTGACGTAGCAGCTTCAAGTAAAGTTGGATTTCTCCACCCTTCCCTTTCTTCAATTGCATGTTTGATTGAAAATACAAGACATGATTCGAGTATACAATAATTTAATTTCTTTTTCTTCATTATTACTATTTTGTCCTTCGTATCGAACGTGGCATAAGACCTTCCATCGTGCCACTATAAGTCATACAAAAACCATTAAGCATATAGTTCCATTTTATGTTAGTTCGAGAAGTATATTTTGTAAAAAAAAAATTGACATATATTTGGTACTAGGACCACCGGTTTTATTTATTTATTTTAATTTTTGTTTAATTAGGTGATTGTTTCTAATCGGCCATGTTCAATTATATGTACCAAAGTTCACATTAATGCATGCAGACTCCAGCCTTGCCCTTATATATTGACTGATGGTATGGAATTATATATAGACAATTACGCCTCGAAATTATGTGAATCCCTCCTGCCCCCAGGGCATATCTCCCAGTGGCAAAGGGGAGGGCGGATAGGACTCAGCGCGGTAGTGTGCAGAGTTCGATTCCCCACAAGGTGGAATTGACTTTGTTGCAAGCAGGAGTTACCATATGGGTTAACAGCCTTGGTCTATCCATGTGCTCTCCACCCTGGCTCCTGGGAGGCACATCCTACGATTTACCTCCTCCACGATGGCCCAGAACAGGGTCGGTGGAGACCCTTAAGGTTGGGGTTCAACCTTTTTATGTGAATCCCTCCTTATATTATAACTTTGAATAATTCTATCTAGCTCCAATAGTGCCAGACCACCAGTTTATGTGTGTCATTATATGATAGGTTCAATTAAAGATGAAATAATGTGATTCATTTAATTGTGTATTTTATTTATTGAAGCGGACAGGTGTTGTAACACCAATAGTACTAAGTAGCATTATTACATAATCGAGATCCAAGTCGAGAGACGTAAATTGAACAAAGGTCTGCATATCGAGATCCAAGTCGAGAGACATAAATTGAACAAGTACGATCGACCCCTACTGGGACCTATTAATCACTTCCCATGCAGAATGTAAAAACAATGATGAAGCCATAATACAAATAGTAAAGCATGGGAAATTACGGCAATGTGCATTAATCTACATTTTTCTCAGTTTTCTTATCGCGTTCCGAGTGTTGTACTTTGAACAATTGGCTTAACTTCTTCACAGCTTGATGAAATATCTTGATTTTAATCTGGCCTCGATTTGGAGGGAGATTAACCTTGTGTTTCTTTGGGGCATTGGCATATTCCTCGTTCTTGGCCATTTGCAGTTGAGTTATATATACTTGAAGCTGATGAGAAGCAGCTATGATGGATGAATAAATGTAGCAAGTCCAAGATCTCAGGAATGAGTATGAAATAAACCAAATAGAGAATATTATGTCTGGTTATAGGGCTCTGAGTGTGTGATCCAGGAGATTGAAGATCGATTTATAAGCTATGGAAATTCATGGGGAACATCATGCTTGCATAAAGGTACACACAAGGATAAATGAGAGAGGTGATGCTTTAGAATATAAATTTGGGAAGGTTTCAATGAAGCAACCTTTGAGCGAATTTCATGTTAGTCGCTTAACAAGTTTAAACTCTAGTCCCTTTGTATATATCAACTGTCAATTTTCTATAAGAAATATCGATGGAATGACCAACTTAAAATCAAAGTCAAAATTAGTTACCAAGATCGCGTCTCATTAGAGGACCCGTGCAGACCAATTATCCAAGTAGTGTCTCCTCTGTGATTGGTCTTGAGACAAGACCAAGTCATATTACCTCATAGAGAGGTGATCTTTTTGAATATCCACATCCACACGTATCCAATGTTCCCCATGATAAGGACACTGAATGCCACAATATAGCGTACGGAACATCAGAAAGGGACTTGGTCTTCAGTGTTTAAGACAAACTAAATATGGAAAGGTCTAAAGAAAGAACATAACAAATTTGGTGCACAAAAAACAGAACAATGGGGAGACTACAATTGAACATGAATTGAGGTTTCAGTTTGACACCGTTTGAATTCCACTAGATTTACTGTTCTAATTCCACCAACACCAAAGAAAAGGTAAGGACCCGAATAGAATTGCAATATAACAATAATAAATTAATTAAGCCCATGTATGAGCTTCATTAGCGTGGTTTATTTTATTTTATTTTTTGAAATGGAGCTCAAACCGGTTACCAAGTCTTGTTCTTTGTAAATTTAGCCCTTGTTTGAGCTCCATTTTTTTTAAATATATTTTTAAAGAGTATTTTAACATCATTTCAACCACATTTTTCAATAAAATAATATTACACGAAAATCTAAATTTTTTCCTTATTTTTTAACCACACATTTCACATCATTACACTATTCAAAAATGGGGCTTAAACAAGGGCTTAAAATCAACTACAAGTTCGAGCCCCTATAGCAAAATTTTTAAAGTCAAAAACTACTTTTAAGACTAATAAGTTAATTCTGAACCTGTTAGGATAATTTTTAGGATGTATTTTGTGTGCTAATAAAACCTTTTAGAAAAAGCTAATCTAAAGTAAAGTCTATTCGGCAAGATTTTAGAAAAGTCAAAAACTATTTGTGAGAATAAGAAACTGTTTTTTGACATGTTTAGATAATTTTCTAAAAACGTTTGATATGGCTAGAAGAACTTTTAAAGAAAAATGACCTAAAATTACATCCTTAGAAAGCTCTTTACATGAAGGAGAAGCAAGGTAGAATTCCTATCAAACACGCTCACAGTTCATAGCTTCCTCAAAAAGCTCTTCTACAAAAAGCAAAAATCATTTGAAATGAACCCTTCATACAATATATCAACAGCAGCAAGCACCGTGTATTCCTTCACGAGACAAGTATTAACGTAGTGCATATAGCAAGGATCCAAGGATGAAATTCGACACCACAAACAACAGTAAATAAAGGGGGCAAAACTAAAAAGAATGAACATCAATGGATTTCCACATTTACTTGTGATGTAGGCGATTTAAAAAATTGCAGTTCCCGTTTTATTGAAGTGAATTAAAGATTATACAGCTTAGAGATTTCGTAATGCACGGGGACGAATCTTTGGGATAGGATTTACTTAACTGGCGCAAGAATTGTGTAAATTATAAGGAAAGTAACTATAACAATAGCTCCAACTAGAGTAAAACTCGGACTAGTCCATAACGTAAGGTTTGACCTCTCTGTTCTTTTAATGGGATCAACCTCCTCTGAAAGTGGGAACTCAGAACGCCTAGGATTCCAGCTCACGTACTTGTTGGGTGAGAATTGGGAGAAAAAAGTCTTTCTTCCTTGTTTCTTGAAGCTTGACCAGGCCTTATCCCAATCTGTTGAGTATTTATCACCTATAAAACAGAGTAAATACTTAAGTTTTTTATTTTAACTTGCAAGAGCAATGCGAGTAGATAGATCTAGGTATTAAGCCAAAAAGTTCAGTATATAAAATGAACCGTTCCATTTCTTATCATGTGCAGATGAAGGATTTCACAATCATATAAAGGTCGTCCATATTCAGATCAATGAATTTGTCGAAATTTCATAGCCATATAAGGAAACACATTGGTGTGATGGCTTTGTTTCCGAGTCTGACAAACTCCACTGTTCATGTGTGCACATTAAGCCAAGAGTAAAGATAGGAACTTGAGAAATCCAGCAAACGTCTCGCTGATATAAACAATATTTAAAGTAAAATTAGTCAGTTCAAAATGAGTATTTTATATTGTTCTAAGTTCAAATATAGATTTAATTGCCCCCAAAAGTACCAGGCAAATCTAGAGACAGTCCAAATGACAGCTCAGCTAATCCTGAATTTTTTTTTATCAACGGCTTAGAACAACTATTCAAGGGCACCTCGTATAAAAGTTATATATTGATATGGAGTAGAATGTGATCAAGGCGATCTGTACGAAGTTGGAGACAAGTTAATGCTGTGCAATATTGCTCCACATAAGAATTAACTACAGGTATAACTCGTAAGTGCTTGATAATCGAGATTTTATGTTACTAGACACCTGGAGTGCGTGATCCATTTCTAGGCTATGGTTAATGTCAGGGAATTACATATATTGAGCTTTTGATGTTGTCATGTGACTTTTTATCCTCTGGCTATTGATTTTTTAGTATAATGAGTAATAGTGTGTCTACTCACTATTCACAGCAAAATAAACTTAACCCCTATTTGACAATTTTCAAAGTCTTTTTTCTACATACTTATTTTTAACCATACATTCACATAATAAAATATTCTGTACGTAAACCCAAAACTTTTCCATACTTTCTAACTAAGCATTCTCCTAAAAATCACTATTTGAAACTCTATTTTTCCTAATTAGGGGCTAAATAGTGTTTGTAAATTTTCTCTAGCTGTCGTCAACTTTGACACATGGCATCCCAGATCAAAATCATCCATATCACTAAATGCTATCCCAAATTCAATGTATTAGACACCAAAACAATCAACAATTTTGTCAATACGAAGTAACATGGAGGCTAGTGTCATTTTAGACCATGTTGTCCCTGATGAAACAGAGTCATGCCTCAGATTAATTAATAAGGTCAAGTCAGACTAGTAAAATATTGAACATTCTCATCCTGGTCTCAGCATGTCCGTGGGATTTTAATGCCTTGGAGACAAGCTATGGCTCACCATTCAAATTATAGATTTCTGTAGGAAAATGAATCTTCTGAAACCAATGAATAACTAAAAATGAAAAGAATAGTTAATTGGAGGAGAGAAACCCACACAATTTATTGTTCATGGACATGGAAAAAATATTTACATATCCATTTAAATAAATGTTCCATGACAAGCAATAGAATTAATCTTAGCTCTATAACTCAGTATATAGAACTAAATACCATGGAGGTATGTCAAGATAGAAAAGAGACTTAAAACTGAAGCTCTTCTATCACAGAAGCAGAGGCATTTATATTACCAGAATATAAAATTAAATTAAACGAAAAGAGAGCTGAAGGAGGAAAGTCATCCGTGCCTATATTATGTCACGCAGTCAATACATAATCATTTCACAGCCAAACAAATAGCTAAACCATGGCATTTTGTTCTTCAAGCCTATCTATCATTCACTAGTGCAAATTGCAAGAAGTTTCTACCCAAATTAATATCGAATCCACTCTCATAAATAAATCAAAATTTGAATTGAAAAAGGGAACAACCCAGCTCTTACCAACAAATCACAAGCAACATTAATTTTCACTTGGATACAGAATATCAAAATCTTAAAAGCTAATTAACCATTATTCAAAAAAAGAATGTGAACAGTAACCTTATTTACTGAATTTTATGTGAATAATCCACGTTCTAAAAGAACCAGAGAGTAACGACATAATAGGACTCCAGCTCCAAAATAGAAAATTTTCATTAAAGTTTAATATCCAACAACTAAAAAGGTATCCACATTCTTCGTATGTTTGAAAAAATTACTCAATGGATTCAAATATAGTGCTAACAACACAATTGCTAATAATATATCAGAAACAAATCCAGAAGAGCTTTCAGTTTGCTAGAAAGCATAGATTTTTATTCTGATAGTGTAGGTAGAAGGGCATCTATTTTCTGTCCATTATCACTTGAGAGATTAATAATGCTTTTCCCATTCATTGGAAAGGTATGGAACATGTACATGAATATAGAAAGTGAATGCATCTCCAGTGTCACTTCTAGATCCTGCCTTTCAGGTGAAGACCTGAGGAACTAGAGCTGGACCAAATTATGGTCGTCAATAGACAATGTCTGTAAACGGTTTATGCACATTGGTCAAATAAGTGAAAGTGTGTCTTAAATTGAATGCTTTTGTTGAAATATTTTGAATTAGTCAGCTAGGATTAACTAGGTTGTTGTTGCATTTTGAAATAATTCCTATTGATTAGGACACATTGTTTACTTTGAACATTTCTCTAGGCCTCTCCCATGATTCTCGGAGTTGTTGAGATGTGGGTTGTTTATCTCTTTTATTGCTTTGTAAAGGCTATTTAAGCCCCTGTTTTTGTTGGAATAATACATGCTTTTCTTCTCCAAAATTCTGAAACACATAAAAGCAGGATTCTTAACATTTGGTATCAGAGCCGGTCGAGGAGTAGCAGCCTTCGACGGTGTATGAAGCAGTAGATATGGCAGCAGGAAATAGTTTTGTGCAACCTGCAATTCCAAAGCTTGATGGGCACTATGACCATTGGAGTATGCTTATGGAAAATTTTTTACATTCAAAGGAATATTGGGGATTGGTGGAGAATGGAATCCCTGCAGTAGCTGAAGGAGTTGTGATTACTGAAGCAGAAAAAAAGTTGAATGAAGACCTTAAACTGAAGGACGGCGAAAAATTACCTCTTTCAAGCCATTGATCGTTCAATACTAGAGACTATCCTGAACAAGGATAATGCCAAAGATATTTGGGATTCCTTGAAATAGAAGTATCAAGGGACTGCACGAGTCAAGCGTGCACAACTACAAGCTCTTCGAAGGGAATTTGAGGTGCTTCAAATGAAGTCTGGTGAATCTGTGAATGACTACTTTGCTCGAACCCTCATCATAGCCAACAAAATGAGGATTCATGGGGAAAAAATGGGAGATGTCGTTGTCATTGAAAATATTTTGAGATCCATGACCTCAAAATTTGACTATGTGGTGTCTTCTATTGAGGAGTCCAACGATGTGGATACTTTATCCATTGATGAATTGCAAAGTAGCCTTTTAGTGCATGAGCAACGCATGAATGCTCATGTGGTAGAAGAACAAGCACTCAAAATCACTTATGATTATCAGTCAGGAGGAAGATGAAGAGGAAGAGGTAGACAAAACTTTGACAAGTCTACAGTTGAATGTTATAACTGTCATAAGCTTGGTCATTTCCAATATGAATGTCCTAGCAAGGTGGAGAATAATGTAAAAGCAAGCTATGTTGAGGCTACTGAAGAGATGTTACTAATGGCTTACCTAAATACTAAGGAAACCGATCAAAAGGCATTGTGGTTTCTTGACTCGGGGTGTAGCAATCACATGAGCAGTCAAAAGGAGTATTTCTCTGATTTTGATGAAAACTTTAGAGAATTTGTAAAGCTGGGGAATAATTCAAGCATGGCAGTAGTGGGAAAAGGCAATGTACGATTGCTAGTCAATGGAGTCATGCAGGTGATCACTGTACTAGAATTGAAGAACAACTTGTTAAGTGTAGGTCAGTTACAAGAGAAGGGGCTTGCAATTCTCATTCAACTTGGGAAATGCAAAATTTATCACCCTGAGAGAGGTCTGATCATGGAGACTGCCATGACATCAAACAGAATGTTCATTTTGGTTGCTCATTCTTAGCCAAATGAAACAATCTGTTTCAACTCAACCATTGAAGATCTCTCCCATCTTTGGCATTGTAGATATGGCCATTTAAGTCTAAAAGGTCTAAAGACTCTCCAAGATAAAAAGATGGTACATGGGCTACCACAATTCAAAGCCTCATCTAAGATATGTCAAGATTGTTTGGTAGGGAAGCAGACAAGAGATTCATTTCCAAAGAAAAGCACTTGGAGAGCCTCTTAGATCCTTCAATTAGTACATGCAGACATATGTGGACCTATCACACCTATTTCAAATAGCAAAAAAGGTACATGATCACTTTTATTGATGATTTCAGCCGCAAGACTTGGGTGTATTTTTTAGTGGAAAAATCTGAGGCATTTATTACGTTCGAAAATTACAAAAGTCAAGTTGAGAAGGAAACAGGTTCAGATATACAAGGCTTGCGTACAGATTGTGGAGGAGAATTTACATCACAGGAGTTCAATGAATTTTGTAGGGTAAATGGCATTCGGAGACAACTAACGGCCGCATACACCCCACAACAAAATGGGGTAGCAGAACGTAAGAATCGAACCATTATGAATATGGTTCGAAGCATGCTTTCGGAGAAGAAGATTCCAAAAACTTTCTGGCCTGAAGCAGTTAATTGGACCGTCCATGTTTTAAATCGAAGCCCAACACTTGCAGTGAGGAATAAAACTCCGGAAGAAGCCTGGAGTGGAACTAAGCCATCAGTGGAGTATTTTAGAGTTTTTGGATGCATCTGTCATGCTCATATTCCTGATGCTAAAAGAATAAAACTCGATGACAAGAGTTTGAAGTGTATTTTGCTTGGAATCAGTGAGGAGTCGAAGGCATACAGATTATATGATCCAACTTCACAGAAGATCTTGATAAGTAGAGATGTGGTTTTCGAGGAGGATGAAATTTGGAACTGGGAAAAGAAGCATGAAGAAACTATCATTGCTGATTTAGAGTGGGGAGAAAGTGATATTGAGGATGAATCAGATGCAAATTGTAATAGTCGGACAGAAACAGAAACAGGAACAGAATTGGAAACAGAGGAATGGACAGGTGAATTATTACATGAAGACTTACCAAATCCTCTTGGAACAAGAGAAAGAAGGCCGCCTATTTGGATGAAAGACTACATCAGTGGAAAAGCCCCTTCTGAGGAAGAGGATATGGCTCATTTGGTCATGTTTACTGCTAGTGACCCTATTTCATATGATGATGCTGTGAGGAGTGATAAATGGAGAAAAGCCATGGATTTGGAGATTGAAGCAATAGAAAGGAATGATACTTGGGATTTAATTGACTTGCCTATTGGAGGAAAGAAGATAGGATTAAAATGGGTTTACAAAACTAAACTCAATGAGAATGGAGAAGTTGATAAATACAAGGCACGTCTTGTAGCAAAAGGGTACACTCAACAATACGAGGTGGATTATACTGAGGTATTTGCACCCGTGGCTCGACTAGATACAATCCGTGTGATAATTGCCCTTGCAGCTCAAAAAACATGGACAATTTTTCAACTAGATGTGAAGTCAGCCTTCCTGCATGGTGAATTAAATGAAGAGGTTTTTGTGGAGCAGCCTTAAGGCTATGAACGAAAAGGTGATGAGGAGAAGGTATACAAACTGAAAAAGGCCTTATATGGACTTAAGCAAGCTCCACGAGCTTGGTATAGTCGTATTGAATCTTATTTCATGAAAGAAGGCTTTGAAAAGTGCCACTATGAACACACTTTGTTCATCAAGACTAAAGGAGGAGGTAAAATTCTAGTTGTGTGTCTTTATGTTGATGATCTCATTCTTACTGGAAATGATAAGTCCATGATAGATGAGTTCAAAAAATCTATGAAATTAGAGTTTGATATGACTGATCTTGGAAGGATGAAATACTTTCTTGGCATTGAAGTGACACAAAAAATTGATGGTATTTTTATTAACCAAAGGAAGTATGCACTGGACGTTTTGGAAAGGTTTGGTATGATTAATTCCAATCCAGTTCAAAACCCAATTGTACTTGGATTTAAACTCGAGAAGAATGTGGATAGAGCTAGAGTGGATGCCACTTACTACAAGCGAATTGTTGGAAGCCTCATGTATTTAACAGCCACTCGACCAGATTTGATGTTTTCAGTAAGCCTCATTAGTAGGTATATGGAAAGACCTACTGAACTCCATTTAGCAGCAGCAAAGAAGATCTTAAGATATTTAAAAGAAACAACTGAGTTTGGGATTTTCTATCAGAAGGGAGGAAATGAAGAGTTGATTGCATATACAGACAGTGACTATGCTGGGGATCTAGATGACAGAAAAAGTACTTCAGGTTATGTATTTTTATTCAGTTCAGGAGCTGTGTCTTGGTCCTCAAAGAAACAACCAGTGGTCACTCTTTCCACCACAGAGGCAGAATTCATTGCTGAAGCATCATGTGCATGTCAAACTGTATGGTTAAGGAGAATTCTTGAAAAATTGGGTCATATTCAGAGTGAATCCACCACTGTTTTTTGTGATAATAGTTCAACCATAAAGCTTTCTGTGAATCCAGTACTACATGGCCGTAGCAAACACATTGATGTTCGTTTCCATTTTCTTCGTGAACTCACAAAGGATAGAACTGTAAAGATGAAGCATTGCCGCACTCAGAAGCAAATTGCAGACCCGATGACAAAGCCACTGAAGTTGGATGCATTCATAAAGCTTCGAAGTTCGTTAGGAGTTTGTTCAGAGTTAGAAATAAACTGATTGCTAGCAGCATTCAGTTTAAGGGAGGATGTTGAAATATTTTGAATTAGTCAGCTAGGATTAATTAGGTTGTTGCTGCATTTTGAAATAATTCCTATTGATTAGGACACATTGTTTACTTTGAACATTTCTCTAGGCCTCTCCCATGATTCTCGGAGTTGTTGAGACGTGGGTTGTTTATCTCTTTTATTGCTTTGTAAAGGCTATTTAAGCCCCTGTTTTTGTTGGAATAATACATGCTTTCTTCTCCAAAATTCTGAAACACATAAAAGCAGGATTCTTAACAGCTTTCATAAATATCCATCAGAGTTAAGTCTTGCATATGGAATGGAAGTTGGATCTATCTTGGAAAATGAGATGTCTGAATGAACACTCAAGTTTGGTCATTTACGAAGCTCATGGAGACTTTCACCCATCTATTGCCAACACTAAATCAAACATTGGACTCAAGCCACTTCAGACATTTCTTTCAGTTGGATAGTTATCACTGAAACTCTTGTAACCAATCAAGAGTCAAGTTACTTATTACAATTGGTTGCACAGTGAAATGGAAACAAAGCATCAGCTCTAAATTACATTTCATGTCAGAAATAATTTTAATGCTTGAAAAGAGACAGTAAAGATCAACGCCGAAGCATCTAATTTTCCTTATACTTCATTAAGAGAGCAAAAGTGGATGAACAAACGATTAACTTGTTTTACATATCTTCTTTTTCTCCCTCTCCGAAAATTGCAAATAAAATGACAGACATAATAAAATCACACTGACACAGGACACATCAAGCAAGCTGGAATCAACATCAACATTAACATTAAGTCTGGAAGCACCATAGAGAGCAAACGAGGTCAACAGAACCTCATAGTATTGTATAACAATAAAGAATGCATTAGACAAATTCATCAAAAAAAAAAAAAAAACCTATTATAGTACATTCAACTACCTCGATAACCCATCAATTAATATTCCTTACTTACTTCTATAAAATTTCCTTCGCTTTTCCCAGACATTACAGCACAAATTATTGACAAACTTCAACAACCCACGTGCATGCATCCATATACTAGTATGAATAGTTCAAAAAAATGTTACCTCTATCACCGTTTTGCTCGGGCGGCGGTGGCGGAGGGTCTCTTTTTGAGCCGCACGGTTTGAATGGCCTCTGGTTTCTTGAATTATAACATGACACCTGTGAATAAAAGCTTCCGATTCCAAGTCGAATATCCATTTGGTACATCTATGATCCCTGTGATTTTAGTAATTGCAGCCACAAATCGCAAATTTTGTTATCAATTGTACGTACCTACAGTACAGGCGCTCTGAGGACCAGACAGTTTTTCACTGTTGTAAAAAATGTGCTTTTGCGTGGTGGTAAGCAAAGTCGCTAAAGGAGAGAAAACGAGTTTATAAAGGTAGAATTATCAATTACTTATATTTTATTCATTGGTTTATAGGGTTACATAGTTAATTTCTATCGACTACCTCATGTGTTGTGTTATACAAAAGTTGAGGGAGAAACATTCGAAATTTTTGATTCAAAATTGTGCAAATTATTTTAATTGTCTCTTCGATTGAATTAAAAAAATAAATAATTAAAAAAAAATTAAAACCATGAAGAATAGACTCATAAAGTTGAAAAAGTTAGAATTTAAATCAAAATCTCATTTTGATTTTAGTTAAAAAAAAAAAAAAGTATATTTTAACCGTTTACAAATTAGCTTCCATGAAAAAAGTTATAAATTAGCTAAAAATGATGGAAGAAAATAAAATCTAATGTATATTAATCAATAATAAATTAGAAGTAATTGACAAAAAACGTCGATAACATTTACTTTCATTATATCCAATATATCAACATTTATTTGCGCCAAACAAACTTCTCATCTCATTATATCTATTTTATTTGTTAAAGACATATGAAATGGTGAATGTGTCATTCTCTTTAAATAAATAAAAAGAAAAGATAGAAAACAAGGAAATAACTACGTTTAAAGTCTCGGATTTTTTAAAAAGTACAAACGAGTCTCACTAAAAATAATTAAAAATATATGCAAAAAAAAAAATAAAAAGGGTTTCAATATCCAACCAACCCCACCAGTCCCCATCCTCCCCCCACTCCCACCTCGACCAAACACCATCATCACTATCTCTATCTTTCACGTCTCTTTGTCCATATGAAACTTTTTCTTTTATTATTAGTATGTTTTTATTTGTTTTAATGAGACTCATTTGCAATTTTTATAAAAAAAAAAAAAAGAAGAAGAAGAAGAAGTAATAATAATAAAATCGAACTGATGGTTGCAATTGTTAATTTTTTTTTTTCATTTTTCTTTGCATATTTAAGGAAATGACAAATTCATCATTTTATAATGCTTTATAGGAGCAAATGGATTAAATGGGACTACAATAATGTTTGGTGCAAAGAAAGGTTCGATTTAAATTCCAAATACCAAGTGAAATGATAGAGACAATTTACACAATAGGAACAAATAATAGGGACCTTTCGTGCAAAGGAATATAATTAATTAATTTGATTAATACTCTCTTAAATAATTGAATCATTTAAAAACGTAATTAATATGTTGTGAAAAGGGGAAATGAGTTCAAAAGAGGCCTTGGACCAAATTTTTTAAAAATAAAATGCAATTTAATTATTTATAAGTATGAAAAGACTATTGTAACCTTACCTTCTAAAATCAAATTGAAGAAGAAATTAGGACTTTTAGTTACGTCAAAGACCATATTCTTCTCCAAATTGGGTCTTGATATTCGAAAATTGTATTCTTCCTTTCCAAACCCACGACGAGCTCCCATTTGGTAAAAATCAATGTAAGTTTTTCATATTTTGAAATGTTAAATTGATTGGAAATGGATTTTCGCAAAACTTTAGATATTATTCCAATTGCATCTAGATGTGTGGACATGGAAAAATTTTAGCACCCATTTCATCCCTTGCTTATATATTATGCACTTACTGTTTTGGATTTTCTCACAAAAAATGACAGTTGCGAAAAATGAAAAAAAAAAAATAGAAAGCTAGTTGCACTTACTGCTTGTTAAAGTTATTTTGTGAAAATTTGTGCTCTTAATTGTATTATTTTTTTTGGATTTTCTCATAAAGAATGCCAGTTGCCAAAAATGGAAAAATGGAAGGCTATTTCATGAGATCCGTAAGTAGATAGTATTATCTTTTTGATTGTAAAGTTATTTTGTGGAAATTTGAGTCTTGAGTAGTGGATAAATTAGGTTTAGTAGAATAAATGATGTTTTGTTTGATTACTGGATACCTTATTCATTTTTGTGTATTTGATTTATCTTATATCATTGCAAATGTTCTTTTTATAAAGGTGTTATATTCTTTATATATGTTTGACTAATGTTTATGAGCTTCTTATAATTGATCAAGCTTAAGACTTACAAGCATTATTACAAGATGTATAAGCTTCTTATAATATATAGGAGGTGTTGGCTAATACAATAATGAAATGATTGTTCATAATTACATGATTTGATCTCAGTTTGAGGTTGCCAATTCTGTGCCTAAAATATCCACCTTGTGGTTACCTAAATGAATTCTTTGGCCTTTCAAATTAAACACTGGGAAGTTGGCTGATATTTATATTCTGCTGCAATGTAAATCTGTTAAACTTATTTGGAGGGTGATGTAAACCCTCAACAAGATTTATACTTTTTATATGGAATTTCTCCATTTTGTTTTTGAATTGTATCATATGTGTAGATCTACAGTGAAACTTTTTTCTCTAGGTTAGAGTAAGAAATAAGTTGAGTGATATTTAGTATTATTTATTCCCTAATAAAATCTATGATTTTAGTGAAATAAAATCATAGTATTTCTTGATGACATTCAGCATTTGAGGTGCATACATATGTATATCTTATTGTCATTAGTTGTTCTGATATATGTACATGTTTTATAATTTACAGTGCTATGGAGAATATTCAAATTGACGCTATCATTTCAACAAGATGTAGACTCCAAGTAGTACAGCATGTCTATGAACAATTGGATACAAATCACAAAACTAAGCTTCGGGAGAGCTGCTTTGGATCTCTGCTTAGACTTATGGATATAAGGTTGGCTTCACATGTCATCCATCAGTTGTTATTGAGGAAAATGAAGACCAACAAAAATGGAGAAGTGTGGTTCAAGATAAGAGATAAACGAATGAGGTTTGGATTGGAAGAATTTATTTTAGTCACTAGGTTAAATGCAGGTGATGAGAATGATGTAGATAAGACTTTGGGGACGGAGTGTCGGATTGTGAAAGAATATTTTAAGAATAGTGGAGGGAAAATTACAAAGGGAGATGTCTACAATGCATTTCCATGTTGTAAGAAGAGAAAGAGCGACAAGTATAAGCTGGGATTGATTGTAATATTGGCGTATGTCTTGTGGGCCATGGAGGAAAATACCTACATCAATTTATGGTGGTTGGACTTGGTAGATGATTTGGACAGGTTCGAGAAGTATCCGTGAGGGAAGATTTCATTTGAATACACGATGAATGTATTCAAACATGAGATAGAAGGTAAATTGAAAAGTTTCGATGTCGGAGGAAAGTCATGTTGTCGGTATTCTTTGCACGATTTTCCCCTTTCTATAATGGTATGAACAAACAATATACTTGACTTGTAATATTTTGTATATATAAATTTGTGTTATGAGATAGTAATGTATGTTTTATAATAGATTTGGGCATTCGAAGCGATTCCAACTTTGGGAATGAAGTTTGCTACAAAATATCCAGATGTAATTCCAAGAATGGTTGCTTGGGAAATGCCAAAGAGGTTAGCGTTTGCCGCCATTGATATTGTGTTGAAATCGAAAGAGGTAAATTTATGTTTTTTAAAGTTTAATGGGGACAAATTATGGAATTAGATTAGTTGATGACTAATGATTTGCAGATTTAATATTTGCAGTTGGAGGTTAATTTTACATTGATTCCTACAGAAGCCGAATTGGAAAAGGTCTATTGGAAAGAGTTAACAACGATTGTAGAAGAAGATGAGAATGCTTCACACCATTTCGAAGGAGACGAGGCTGAGCATGATGTCAAGCCACATCATGCATACCACGAAGAGTCTCCTAGAGCAGCTCAACCACCACAGCCTAGTTTTGAAATGAACATAGCAGATTTATTGGGAACGAAAATGGAAAAACTTGAGGAAAGGCTACAAGCAGTCATATCGACTCGAATTGATCGGGTGGAGAATTAGTTGAATTGGCTGTGGTCGGTCGATTCTATCCAGCGACTAGTACATTTGATGGAGCCACTAGTAGCACAGCCTATGTACCAGAAAATGAACCGAAGGATGGGTTGGAAAAGAATGCTGGGTTTGATGATGTGACAGATGTGCCTGCTGCTGAAAGAAATGTAGATCTGCCTGAAGAGGATATAAAGTTGGAAGAGGAGGTTAGAGAAAAAAATGTAGGAGGGAATGAGTTGGAAACTGGGCCTGGATTTGATGATGTGAGAGATGTGCCTACTACTCAAATAAATGTACAAGCGCGTGAGGAGGACCCAAAGTTAGAGGAGAAAGGTAGAGGCAAAAATGTGGGAGGGAAGGACTTGGAAAAGGAAGCTGGATCTAGGAATGGTATAGATGAGCAAGAAAATGAAAAAATGGTCAAGGAGAGTGTTGGAAAAGAAATAATATTAGAGGAGGAGCATCTCGATGTGGAAAAAAGGGATCGTTGATTTTGTGACGCCGGAAAAACATGATGTGGATACAAATGAATCCACACGAGGTATATAAAAATGAATTCAAAGTTCAATTTTACATCTTTATATCCATATGAAACAAATTTTCCACTTCTAATTGTTGTTATTTGCAACATATAGGCGACATCGTAGAAATCGATGAGGCGGAATGCGATCCATCGAGAGGATGAGGGTATCGTTGAAACAGAAAAGCGCGCTTACTGTGTTCTCCGTACATGGACCCAACGAAGAGGAGAAAGTTGTCGGACATCAATGTCTACGATTCTTATCAAGAAGTAGATCCCATCAAGGTTGAGACTTTTTGCAAATGGATGGAAACTACATCTTCGTGGTAAATTATTACATATAGTTGTAAGTACATGTGAAAGTAATTACAGTATTACCTAAATATAACTTCGTGTTGATTTTGTTGTATGCACAGCAAAATTATACCTTTGCGCTTCTATGATGTTCAAACAAAACATTTGATGGATCTTTTGAAAGATGATTGTTGGATTAATGACAGTGTAAGTAATCCAACTTTAATGATTTTAAGATAATTTCGCAAAAAAATCAGTTTGAATTTATTAGTTTATTTTTGTAGATTATGAACAAGACCCTATAACAGATATGAGAAAGGGCTTCCAAATTTCCCAATCTGTTCCAACA